AGATTACGTTAGACGAGAAAAGAAGAAACTATTTACAACAGTATACAGATGAAGAACAAATAAGATTTGTAAAACTAAAACTTATGCTAAAAATACACAGTATAACCAGAAAAGGATATGTTGGCAAAGAATCATATTTTCATTTCAATTTCTTCTACTTTAGTTGCTCATGGTTCACAAATCTTTACTGAGTATAACAGCCTTGCTATAATTAGTCCATTTTGTCTAACATTAATGTTATTATCAAATAATTAGGTACACAGAAACAAAAAATATATAGTTATATAAAAATATCTTTTTGTTTGCAAGATTTTTCTCCTCCAATTTATAAATTTGGGCTGTAATCAAGCCACAATATTTATACAGGGTGTCCCAATATTCCGTGGACATAGAACTACTACCTATTTTTGAAATCAAAAGAAGTTCATTGGACACAATTTACCTCTATAGAAAAGTGCTTCGTTTGTACGTTAGGGGGCTTCAAGCTTTAAAAAAATAAACACATTTTTTCAGATATTTTAAGAACTATTATTCCGATTTAAATGAAATTTTGGGTGTCTATGTTTTGCTAAGTGCTTTAACATTTGACTTTCTCAAAAATCAGGAAAAAGTACGGGAAGAGTGAGAACTACCCCCACCTTACATAAATTTTAGTATAAATGTTACGCACAATACATACTCGAATTCGGGTAATGCCCGAAAAAAATGCACAGAACTAGGTTTGAGCAAAAAATATTTCCCAAGCAAGAAATTGTACATTTAAACGGGTATTGCGCATTCCAAAATAGCAAAAACTATTAGTATTTTGCATTTTAAATTGTGCAAAACTAGTTTGGTGTATTTCAAAATTAAGACGGCAAAAAGTAGGGTTAGCAGTTTGTTTAGGTTTTAAGGGATTCTTATTTTGATTTTGTTGTGGCTGGAAATACACAATACTTGGTAAAATAAAATATAAAAATGCAAGAAAAAATGGAAGCCGAGTTCGAAATTAAAGTAAGTCGATTGATGATGGTTAAAACACAGAAACATAACCTTATGTCGAAAAACCAATACTTAACGATATTGACTGAAGTTAAGGAGGCAAATTTTCTTAAAACTGATTCAAAACCTTTGTGTGCGAAACAATATAGAAGGATATAGCGTTTTGATAAAATAACTGTGGGTGGTGTGGAAAAATTGATCAAGAAGCGCCAAGGAGATTCCGATGTCATACTGTATTTTGTGACATCTGAGGAAATGTTTTCTATAATTATTCACCAGGCACAATATTTTATCTATTAGGTATCTAACCATTCTTAGGGTTCCGTTATTTTAATTTTTATATTTTATAAGTTGAATGATAAGTACTAAGTACATTAGACTAATAAATTTACAGGAGCGTATGGTCCTGTGGATGTTATTACGTTATCCATTTATAAAATATTTATGAATAAAGTTTTATTTTTAAGTATTTTATTGTCAGTTTAATCATATTTGAATCAAACACATTCATAAACAATTCATCCAAACTAGTATTGGACATTTTGAAATGCACCAAACTATTGCGCAATTCAAAATGCACAATACTAGTTTTGACTATTTTGTAATGCACAATACCCGTTTAGATGTACAATTTCGGGTTTGGGAAATATTTTTTGCTCAAAACTAGTTCTGCGCAGTTTTTTCGGGCATTACCCGAATTCAAGTATTGTGCGTAACATAAATATTTTCCAACTCAACCTATAACCGATTTTTTTTTTCGTAAAATGGTCCTTCTAGTATTTACTACATTTTTTGTCTCTTGTAAAAAAACGACGCCACCGCGCATACTTTTTGAGGAAAAAAAATTCCCGAATGTGACTTCCAAAAAACGTTTTTTGTCACATCAAGCTATGAAGGCTCATACAATCTATTATGCTCTAATAATCTAGTAGGCAAAAATATGGAATTTTATGCTAGTATCACCACAGATTAGGTATACCATGTCTATACAGATAAAAATTTTATCCCTAATTCGTGGTACGAAAATTGTTTTTTATGACGATGTGCAAACGAGTAAAATTTTCTGTGCGCAAAAATAAACTCGCATAAAATAACAATAAACAGCGTAATAGAGAGATATCGCTAAACCGAATAGCGTGCATGGACGTTAATAAGGCCAGGTGTTATTTCCTTTACGTGAGGTGGTATTAACTCTCTTCATTTATAGTTATCGGATCGGAAAAAAATATGTTCGCGTCGCGTTCGCTATTTAAACTTAACCTAACTTTGAATTTAAAACTTTGAAATTGTTTTGTTTACTAGGTATTTTAAAACTAAAGAGCTAAAGTGCTTATTTCCAGTGCTTTATTGTTCAACGTCTGCCAGAGGGCCTAGGGCAACAAGCAACAAATTCTCTTACAAGGGCTATATTTTGGGCCATATTTATTTAATTAAAACTAATCCCAGCTACTTAAATATCAAATTACCTAATAAAACTAAAGTAATAATTCAAAACAATTCAAACATAGCCCCGGTTGTCAAATACCCGCACATGCCCATTTAAGCAATTTTTAAACGTTATTTAGAAATACCGCTTGGTATAATTGATCCGCAAATTACGTCAGGCGGTAACGTTATTAGCGGGCGTTGCGTTAAAAATTGACTCGCGCACAAAAACATTATAAAGATAGACCGAACATGTCATTCATAAATACTCGTTGGTAGTGTATCAAACATTCCAATGTGTTAAACAAAGACAGAAGAGACAGAGAAGTCTAAAATTTCCGACCCCGGCAACCGAGTCGGCAACTAGGCGCATTTGGATTGTTCTAATGGCCAGTGGCGTATCGTTTTTTGGAACGAATTTAATTAGTAAAGTAAAAGTAAAGTAATTAGTAAAATTTTTACTCCATATTAATATACTACATTAACACTTTTTCGTTAGATGAGTTTTGTTATAAGGTCTAATATAATAATATAATTAATATCCCACATATACTTATGTTGAAACGTTAGTAGGTAGTTTTCGAAAATCGCTCCAACGTCGATATTCAATTTAAACTTTCAGTTACTTCTATATAAACTTTCAGTTACTTTTGAATATTTACAGGGTAACTCAGGCTTCCGAAACAGTTCTATATTAGGTTTGTGGTTGGTGACTTTTGTTTCAATTTGTTTTTTAGAATATGGAGGCAATAGTATAGCACATTTTAGACATTTTTGTAATCATAGGTGGCCGGAACATATTTTCAAACTAAAGTTGCAGATTTGCCATTAAATTTCCATTCCAGAAATACCTAGGGTTGCCACCTGTCCTTTTTTGAAAAGGGCAGTCCTTTTTTGGAATAACTTGTCCTTTTGACTTTTTTTGACTTAAAAAGTCATTTTTATTTACGTATTTTCCCTGGGAGAAGAAGAGAACTTAGAACTTCCCGTTTAATCTCTGAGAAAATTACCTACAGCAAACAGAAATACTCTTTTCGTCCAAATTTAATTAGAGGTGTTATAAAACTTATAAATAAATTTTTCTTGTTTAGAATAGGCAACATTATTTAGAACTTCCCGTTTAATCTCAAATGATAGTTTAGGTTTTAGTTTTACCTTTTTTTATCTTAAAAAGAACTTTTCAAAATTAGTAATTAGTAACGATTTAGTTAGTTCGCAATCGATAGCTTCCTGTGAAGTACTGTGTTATTAATAACTTCCTATACCTAAAATCAATATTTATTTTAATGAGAAAATTGTGTTTTTTTGAAAATATAAGACAAGATTTGACTTTCGGTCTTCTTCTCGTATTATGATGGCTCTGATACGAGGCAATTACCTTTTAGTCTCTCAATAGAGGGCATTTATCATAAAAAGTATCAAATCTGTGTGCTACAGTATTGGATTTCTGTCGCATGATAATGAATATTACGTTTACAAATCCATTACTTAGGTAGCTTAATCAGACAATCAAATTTTAGTTAAACGTCCCAATCTTCATGAACTGTATTAAGTATATGTATTGCGGTTTGAATCACCCTGTATGTTGACAAAAATATTTTGAAAATGTGCGTTACAATGGCCCCGATCTTATGTAAAGATTGAAATAAAAATCACAAACCAAAAACGTAATAGGTAAAAAGCTTTTTTGGAGGTCTGGGTCACTCTGTATATAGGTATGTATAAAACTAGTAGCCTAAGAATTATTTACAGTTCGTCCCATTCTAAAAAAAGGTAAACACACCGTAAAAATAACTCTAGGAAGAGGTATTTGTATTGTACGGTGGTAAAAACTTGTCTAAACAAGACCGAAGGGGCAGATATAAGATATAATAAAGCAATAAAATGTAAAAAAGGACGGGTAAACACCTTTGTTTATTTGTTGAGCAAAATCCTTTAAAATATCGTATATAATGACCAAAATATGACGCAATTTAAAAAAAAATGCCACTTTCTGGCATATAATAAAGTTTCAAATATATGCAACGTTTATATTCAAATTTGTTATGATCTACAACAGTTAGGTAGTAATTGAGACGAATTATAATTCAATTACCGGCTACTACGTTCTTGTTTTAATAGATCAAAATTCAACAAATATAATTAGAAATTATTTTAATTGTGAGAGGCTCCCTTGTGGGACGCCTATGTACGATTACGGCGGAAACAATACCTACCTGTGAAAAGATAAATTCGGGTAATTTGAGCTTATTTTTCAACACATTTGATACTGTCCTACCATATTACGGACAATGCGTTTTTTACAAGAGACAAAAATGTAATAGAGGGCCCATTATTTTATGAAAAGAAAATCTGTCGTCGGTGGAGTTGAAAAATACTTCTATTAAAATTTATGTAGGAGTGGGGGTAGTTTTCACCCTGATTTTTAAGAAAGTCAAATATTAAAGCACTTAGCAAAACATAGACACCCGAAATTTCATTCAAATCGGAATAACGGAAACATTTATTTGTTTTTTTAAAGTTTGTAGTCCTCTAACGGATAAACGAAGCACTTTTGTATAGAGGGCGAACAAATTGTCAACTTATTTTGATTCCAAAAATATGCAGTAGTTCTATGTCTACGGAATATTTCGACACCCTGTATTTTGTCAAATTTTGAAAACTAGTCTAATGAGATTTAAGCCTAAAAAACCAAATGATAATTTTAAATTTATACATTATGCATTTTATAGCAAAAAGTAAATATTTAAAAAAATAGATGGCCTTGCAGTTTAATCTTAATACTAACTGCAGAAACACATTCGTTTAATAAAAAAGTAAAAAATAATGTTAGAAATTAACATCTGTTAGGAAAAAGTCGAAACCCACGCAAAAATTAATATTTTACATCTTAAAAAAGTATTTCCTTATGAATAACTGTATAAACATTCTGTCTTTAAGGAGCTCCGTACTGATTGCTTGGTGGACTGGGATAATTATAACCACCGTTACCTGAAAACAGAAATAATTATAGTTAATAAACTTTTTAAATAAATATTAATATACAGGATGTTAGAAAATAGCATTCAAGTTATTTAATAGTGGATGTCTCAGTCCGTAATAAAGATATACCGAGTGCGTCTCAAAAGTGGCTCACCCCTATAACTTTTTTATTTTTTTTTAGAAAAAAAAACTAGATTTGGTATGTTAGTACATGACATAAATTAGGATTGATTGACGTATTCAATTCTTTTCCATCACTTCCTGTTTCACCGGAAATTACTACAACTTTTGATTTTCAAATGGCACCCTCGGTATTTTTTACTTTATTCGATAGAAAATGACACTCTGAATAAAAGAACATATTATGTGTCAACTTTTTACATATTCAATTAAAAAAAAATAGCATTTTAAATTTCAATTTAGAGTGCCATGACCATAAATGTAACGACAATTTGACTCGAAATATACAAGGTGTCCCAGAAATAAGTGCATGCATGCATTTTAAGGGCTGGTAGATCTCGATAAAAGAAACGTATTTTCTCATTATCGTTTTTCAAATAAGTCGAAAATAACGGAGATATTTTACTTTGAATATTTAAAAAAAAATATTTTTTGTTAAAATTTTGAGAACTTCTGGATCTTTTTTGGATTTTCTTTCTTGTAAATTTAATCTAATACTTATATTGCCATATTGTCAAGAAATTATGTTTTTTAACTAAAAACTAAAAAAAATTCCAAGAAATTAAAAAAAAATCGAATTTTCAAAATTTTTTTTCGCGAAAAAAACCTCATAGGCGAGGCGTGTTTCTGGGGTTGAACCAGTTAAAATACTTGCAATTATTTCGGGGACACCCTGTATATCAAATATGTGGTACCAATTCATTCGCAAAAAAAAAGTTTTTTTCAAATATACCTACTAATGAGCCACCCTCGTAACATTTGAAAAAATTGAGATATGATTAAATATAAGATTAAGGCATCTTTTAATACACGAAACGGAAAAGACACGAAAAAACATTAGACGACCAAATCTATTTTTCCAAGGCTCCATATTTTTAACACAGCCATGGCATTCTAGATTGAAATTTAAAATACGGTTTTTAAAGCAAGAATGTCAAAAGTTGACAAATGATATGTCGTTCTATTCAGAGTGTTATTTTCTATCGAATAAAGTAAAAAAAAATACGGAGGGTGCCATTTAAAAATCTAAAGTTGTAATATTTGAGATATTACGTTAATCAATGCTAATTTATATGATGTACTAACATACCACAACTCGTTTATTTATTTTAAAAAAGCAAATATTATTATTAAAAAGTTATAGGGATGAGGCTCACCCCTATAACTTTTTTATACAGGGTGTTTCAAAACAAATGCGAAAAACTTCAAGGGGTAATTCCTTGTTCAAAATAAAGGGTAGAAACGTTGGGTCAAAACTCAATCATTAGGGAGATATCGCGGTACAAAGATGGCGGAAAAATAATTTTTTTATTTTTTATCTTGAAAATGAACAACGATAGACTAATGAAAATTTATGGAAGCATTACTGTTATGAAAACACACTTTCTGGTAATTTTTTCACTTTTTTAAAATGAGTGGAAGGGATTGAAATAAACTCTCATTCTTGTTAACAAAATTTAAAAAAAAATCTTATCAAACACATGTAAAAAAATTAATTTGGATAGTTTAGTTTCTTTAGAAACTTTTTTATCTCTTTTTTATTTTTTTTTATGTTGTGAACTTTGATAAGTTAGCACTAATTAAATGATAATAATTATTATTTACAACAATATTCAAACGGTAAAAATTTATCAACTTATCCCAATAAATATTTGACAATGCCTTGGATTCATTTGTTGTCAGAAGTATTTTCAATACTAAAAACTAAAAAAAACAAACAAACGGCACCATCGACATCGACGATCGACACCGATGCCGGTGCTGATCTCGACACCGGTGTTTATCGTGATACCGGAGTTGAGATAAACACCGCGGCGTCAAGATAAACACCGGTGTTGTAGATGAACACCGGTGTCGAGATAAACACCGGTATTGTAGATGAACACCGGTGTTGAGATAAACGCCGGTGTTGAAATGAACGCCGGTGTTGAGATAAACACCGGTGTCGGTGTTGACACCGGTACACCGACTGAAACACTGGTGGTTATCAACACCTAACACCGGTGTTCAAATCTCAACAACGAACAGGTCTATTTTGTTCTGTCGTTCCACGGAAGACAAATAGGCATGCGGGTTATAAAGTTGCACGGTCCGGCTTGACGCAAATCGTTCTAACAAAATAAACCAAATAACAATCCAACTTTAAAATAAACCGTAAACATAAACGTCTTTAGTTTAACTGATAATTGAAAATCATGAAATTAAGAGACAAGAAACGGCAACATTGTTGGGTGCCTGAGTAGACTAAACATTTCATGGTTTTTGGTATCACAAAATATCGCTTAGAGTAAAATAGACATTGCATTCATAAACATACCTGCGGGTGCTTGTGGAGGTCCATACGCTTGCTGAACATTGTTATTTTGAGGATAGGTCGCCTGCCCTTCGTATTTAACATCAGCATGGAATCCCGTTTGCCAATCTGCCCAGTAAGTTACGATCTGCGTCCTTCCATCTGGAAGGGCTACCTTGTATTCTCCTCTAACTTGATTGCCATCGCTAGATTCCTTTTGATGGAAGTTGGACCCGGAATAGTCGTCTTTTACTCTATATCCGAATTCATAGGATTGTGGCTATAAATATAAATTAATAATCAAAATAAGTTAAAATAAATATTGAGATGTTCAAGGTGTCAAAAAATAGTAAAATAAAAACACTAAAACTAAGTTAGCATCATCAGCAGATGATTATAAACTAAAGTACAATCTACAAGTTGAGCGTTTACATACTCGCTCAGTGGGCACCGAGTGGGCGTGGCAAAATCTAGCCAACCGAGTCAGAGCCCACTGAGCGTAACAGTTAGATTTCCGCCAGTAGAGTAGTAGGAACAAAGAACTTGAAGGAATTGGACCGTTGACTCTGTTCATACTATCTTTACATTTATTAATTCTGATGCTTTCATATGCATCTAATTGCCTGTAATTTGAGACTTGTTTAATTAATTTTAAATTATTAAGATCTATACAATGTTCTTTATCAACAATATGTTCGGCAACGCAAGATTTATCCGGTCTACCATATCTTCTCTGAGCTAAATGTTCTTTAAATCTAGTTAATATTGATCTTCTAGTTTGCCCAACATATTTCTGATTACAATCTTTATAAGAAACTTCATAAATACCCGACCTTTCCAGTAGAGGTGTTTTATCTTTTGGATTACCTAATAATGTAATAATAATGAATGTAATAATGTAATAATAATGTAATGTTGTAATTTGTTACTAGCACTATACACAAGTTTATAATTGACATTCTTAAAAATTCCTTTTAGACCACGAGATAACTCTCTATCAAACGGTATCGAAAAATATTTAGACGTATCTTTCTCCACTTGAAAAGTAGAATTTTCAGAAATCATTAATCTATACCTACGTTTTCTAATTAATTTATCAACTAGTGAAGAAGAATCCATTACACTCAGCTACATTCCTAATGTAATCTCTTTCTATTTCATATCTTTCGTTGGAAAGTGGGAAACTAAGTAATCTATGAACTAAGAAATTTAAACTAGCCATTTTATGTTGAACACTATGATGTGATTCATTAGGAATATATCTGCGTGCGGTCGTATTTTTCCTATAGATATCAAATTCCAGGCAATTATTAGTATTTCTAATAACTAATACATCTAGAAATGGTAATCTGTCGTTGTTCTCAATTTCATGCGTAAATTTAATGGAAGGAAAACGATTATTTAACTTAGAAATAAAATTATCTATGGTGTCTGAATGTGTGTCAGAAACAGCAAAAATATCATCCACATACCTAAACCATACTCTTGGAAAATACTCAAACTGATTCTTAGCCTCCACTTGAAACCTACTCATGAATAAATTAGCCAAAAATGGAGACAATGGATTACCCATTGCTGTACCTTCCCGCTGTTCAAAAAAGTTGGTATTAAATTGAAAACAATTTTGTTTCATACATAACGATGTAAGCTCAATATATTCACTCACAGTTTTGCTGTCGAGACTATTTGCGTTCAGTAATTCCTTCAAGTAGCCTAAAGTATGTGGAATTGGAACACTTGGGAACAACGAACATACATCAAAGGAGACCAAAATTTCACCTTCATGCAATGTTATATTTTGAATTTTGTTAATGAATTCAATATTATTTTTAACTGAGAAAGAAGGTTCATGATCAGGTAAATTTTCGAACTCCCTTGATAACCATTTTGCCAAATTATAAGTCGGAGAACCTACAGCCGAAACAATTGGGCGCATAGACTTGTCCGGTTTATGAATTTTTGGCAAAGCATACAATTTTGGTAATGAGGGATTGGATACTTGCAATTTCCTCTTTAAAGAAAGATCAATAAGGGTAAGGGTAGGCAAAATAGTGTATTTTTGTGTTGGTGATTACAGATAAAAATAAAATATAAAGTTCCTATAAAAATATGCCCTAAAATACTTCCCGATGTAATTACACCCCGGGAGAGGGTAAATAAAAATAATATATTTTCTTTATTTTTAAGAACATTGGTAAGCCATTTTTCTTGAAGTATGGTAGGTACTCTTACACATATTTTAATGCAAACGCGAATAGCGGTAATATAAAAATCCATAACAGTTCGAAAGGTACTTCCCATTAAGGTTGGAAATTATTACTTTTGATGATCTATACTTACTTTGCTATAGTTATCGTAATCTTAAATTACAGAGTGTTTAAAAGTCTACTAAACTTTCGCCGTTTTTTTTTCGATCATAGGGTATCTCTGAAACTATCGAAATCTATTTACTCATAACTGAGGATTATTTAAAGTGATATCTAAAAGGAAGCCAAAAATGCAATAATATACAGTGTGTTTTATTTTAAAAAAATCAACCCGATCCTCTGACACTTTTTTAAACACCCTGTAGAAGTTAAAATATTTTTGTAAAATACATCCAAAATACATTACTAGGAGCTGCAGATGCCCGACGCACTATTGCCGGACGCTGTACACAACTCTAAATTTATATGATATAATTCTAGAACAATATCTATGTTATATGTCTAATTTAAAAACGAAATATTCAGAAATTAAAATCATTCAAATTTCTTTAGATCTTATACACTTTTACTTATTAGTAAATATTGACCTTATATGAAGTAACAGTAACGAAAGTAACAAATTAAGTAAAGGAAAGGAATGGAAAACAAACACAATGCATATCCTTCAAATGCTTCTTTTATGTTTGCTAATAAAGAAATAATCAAAGCATAATAACGTGTCTAATGTGTTCTATGAAATCGCTCTTTTAAGAAAAAATAATAATTTTCACACAATATTCCAACGTTCTTTACAGTTCATAAAACTATTACACATGGTGATGTATATATTTTATAAGACGAAGTTTACGAAATATTTTTCACATATTTTTTCCCATCTCAATATACAGGGTTGTTCACCACATACGATACGGAGTATGGTAGCTAAACGATTAGATTTTTACAAATTGTAAGTTCTGGGTTCGTTGAAGGACTATTAGAGCTACAATTTAAAAATATTTTTACAAGAACCCTGTATCCCAAGTCCCAAATAAGTTAAAAATATTATAGTTGTATTTTTTTAAATGGAACACCCTGTATATTATTCTATTTTTAGATTCTACGATTGAAATAAAGGTAAATTTGACTAAGGTTTATCACACTTAAACCTTACCGTTTTTGAAATATTTTCAATTTTATGAAATTGCACTAAAATTTTAAGGCTTTATTTCTCAAAGGGTATCAAAGTTTTAATACTAAATATTTACTGAAGATTATTTATTGATCAGATATTGTGTTGCTATAATAAAATGTACTACCTTATACAGAGTGTTCAAAATTTATATTAAATAATTACTAGCTTTAAACGGCAATAACTTGTTTAATTTAAATGGACACCCTATATATTTTACATGAATCACATGCACAATGTAATTGTCTATCAAATTGTATTATACCATTTTTACCTATCTCTTCAAGTTTTTGTAGAAAATGCATTTTCTTATAATTTAGACCCTCATTTATCACTATACCCGTAAAATATTGACATTTTAGATTATTTTTAAAGATGTAACAAATTTTCAAAGAGTACAGATACTAATATTGTCGATATAGTTCTAAGCTTATTTCATTAAAAATAAAAAACTGTTTAAATATTTTTGTTAACAAGGACCAATTAATATGATCCCAGCATTCAAACTACATTAATTGACTGTTTACGTTGATTAATAATATTTGCTCCAAATACTCAAAAACTGAATTTTGTGTGTGTATTAGAGAGTGTGGTAAAAAGTAACACATTATACATTTTATTTCATTTTTTGACGAATGCTTATTTATAAAAACAGAAACGTTCATCTTCATAACTTATTATTATATTGATTCTGAGCCAAATTCACACACATATTTAGAATACTTTATTAATTAAACTAAAACTAATTTTTGGTCGGAAATAATGGATATGTATATTTAATTGGTATACTCTTTCACAAAGATTTAAATAGTTTTTTTTGTATACCAATGGGCTTGCAATACATTTTGTACATATATGTTGCTTTAAAAAAATCTGAAATGTCAATATTCCATGGGTACAGTGATAAATGAGGTCTAAATTATAAGAAAATGCATTTTCTAAAACTTGAAGAGATGGGTAAAATTGTATAATACAATTTGATAGACAATTATATTGTGCATCGGATTCACCTAAAATATATAGGGTGTTCTATTTAAATTAAACAAGTTATTGCCGTTTAAAGCTAGTCATTATTTAATATACATTTTGGACACTCTGTATAAGGTAGTAAAATTTTATTATTGCAACACAATATCTGATCAATAAATAATCGTCAGTAAATATTTAGTATTAAAACTTTGATACCTTTGGAGAAAATGAAGCCTTAAAATTTTTACTGCAATTTCATAAAATTGAAAATATTTAAAAACGTTAAGGTTTAAGTACAAATAAACCTTAATCAAATTTACCTTTATTTCAATCGTAGAATCAAAAATAGAATAATATACAGGGTGTTCCATTTAAAAAAATACAACTATAATATTTTTTACTTATTTGGTACACTCTGTATCTTGTAAAACTATTTTTAAATTGTAGCTCTAATAGTCCTACAACGAACCCAAAACTTACAATTTATAAAAATCTAATCGTTTAGCTACAATATTCCGTGTCGTATGTGGTGAACAACCCTGTATTGTATATTATTATTTTCAAAACTATTTTTGTTTAAATTGACATTTTAGTCAATTGAAACAACAGTAGGTACAAATTAACTCAAAATTTTACTTAAGAAAGAATTACCAAAATAACATTAAAGTTGGCATAGCTCATGACAATTGAAACTCCATATTGATTTGTATATGTTACGGCTAAAATGGATACTTGGCTAGTTTTAAACTAGCCAGCTATTTTGCAAAAAGCGCTGTTATTTTGTTGGTTAGGTGGAGTTTGCAGTGGTGGTTGTATTGGTTGCAAAATAGCTGGCTAGTTTGAAAACTAGCCAAGTATCCATTTTAGGCGTAACATATTGTATAAAAAAACATATTTTAACCTTTATTTGGAGGCATAATTTTATACAGCTTCAATATAATTTCCATTAGTAAATTTGATAAAAATTAATAATTATTATTTACTATTATCCTTGTTTCTTTTGTCTTAAGTAGGTATCTAGCTCAACTAAATGAAGCCAGAAAGCTGTTTCCCAGGGGCGAGAATGTGAACTGGAAAAGATTTCCTATAGTGGATTTCCCCAAAATAGCGATGACTGAAGTCGATAGCGCAGCCAAGAGGCTAAAAAGAGGAAAGGCACCTGGACCAGACGGCATTCCAGTTGAGTTAGTTCAGATTGTTGCTCAGGAAAGACCTGATGTACTGGTAGATATCTGCAATGATGTTATTGGAAATGCATCTATTCCGAGTAGGTGGAAACGTGCCCAGCTGGTGTTAATAGAAAAACCCCAGAAAGAAAGTGGAACTGCTGGACTCAATGGTCAAATTAATAGAAATGGTCTTAAAAGATCGATTGGAAACTGAAATACAGCTAAAGGGTGGTTTAAAGAGAGGCAGTACGGGTTGCGAAAAAAAATTAGTACAATCGATCCTCTTAAAAAAGTGTCTGAGGCAATCAGAGTACTAAAGAATACTAGCTCGTCAAACAGAGATATCCTTATGAAAATGCTTTCAACTCGGCTAACTGGGAAAATGTAATCAATGAGCTTGCATATCATTGGAAAATAAGTTTATATTTAGTGGAAAATATAAAAGCTTATTTCGGCAGAAGATGCGTGAGTAGAGGATGCAGAAGTTAAAGTATCTAAAGGTGTACCTCAGGGATCTATACTGGGTCCTTTACTATGGAACGTACTGTATGATGGACTTCTTCGTATGGAATACCCAGCAGAAGTAGAAGTCATAGCATATGCAGATGATGTTGCGCTGATGGTAAAGCTAAATGTAACGAAGACCTCGTTAGAACTGCGGAAAGAGCATCGGAGCAGGTGTGCTCATGGATGGATGAGGTGGGACTAGAAATAGCGCCGCACAAAACGGAGGCAGTTATTTTGGTTGGTAACCGAAAATCACGCAGTGTACGTTTTCATGTGAAACAAAATATATTGTACCAAAGAAAACAATAAAATATTTAGAGATTGTTTTCCAAGCGGGAGGAGGCTTTTCTGAGCATATCCGCCATACAGTTTTGAAAGCAGAAAAACAGGGGGCCATGTTATCCGGAATTATGCCAAACTGGTCTACCTTGGGTCAAACGAAACGCCGAGTGCTAGCTGCTGTACAAGCATCTACAATTTTGTATGGATCCGAAATTTGGGGAGAAACCTGCAAAGTTCGAAGTCATAGAGAGAAACTTTTTGCAGTGCAACGAAGATTGGCCATAAGAGTATGTCGTGGATACAGAGCAATATCTGCGGAGGCTGCACAAGTTCTGAGCTCAATGGCCCCGATAGACATAGTAATTGAAGAAAGAATGGAAAGGCAAGAACATTCAGGAAGAAAGTCGAAATAGAGTTCTGGAAATATGGTGTAAAAGATGGAGTCAAAACAGAAATGGTAAAGGTAAATGGACTAGAACACTTATAAGGAACCTAGAGTGTTGGATAAATAGAGAATATGGAGAAATGAGCTATGCCATGAGTCACTTCCTTTCTGGCCACGATTGTTTCAGGTATTACCTACATAAAATAAAGTTAGCTGATAGACCGAGATGTCTCTATGGCGACCCCGATGCTGATACGGTGGGGCATACCCTTTTGGAATGTCACCGATGGACAGATGAACGAAGATTTCTATACGAAAAACTAAGAGTCCCAAAAATTAAGATTTCCGATCTAGTTCCAGAGATGATTCGATCCCCAGAAAATTGGAATAGTGTTATACAATAATACACTTTTATGGAGACACACATATTATCACACTTGGAAATGAACATCGATGACATTCCCCATATAATTTTACATATAAAATGACAGCGATCTTCATTTCATAGCCATCGCTGCCGCCGTTTTTTTTTCGATCATATTGTATTATTGACATACAGTTATTTCTTCAAATAATATCAAAATTTATATCATTATTTAAATAAATGTGATTTGTTATTTACTTAAGCAAAATGAGTGTAATGGTACTCTGGCTTCTTTAAATTATAAGCTGTAGGAAAACTAATTATGTTTAAACGAAAAATATATAAACAAAAAGAAGTTAAATAAAATAAGATAATATACGGGGTGGTCCTAATTTTATTCGGGAAACTTCAGCAGCATATTCTGCTGCTAAAATAAAAAAAGATAAAAGTAAGTAAAAAAGGTCGTATAAATGTATATCCTAAAATGCTTCGTTTCGGAGATACAGGGTGCAGAAGTTCTATTTTTATTTCGATTTTTTCCAAATAATTTCTGACCTAAGGTCGATATTTGCATGAAAAATGGTGTCTGGGTGCTTTTTAACATGAGCAACTTGGGATTTCGACATCAATATGACTCCTACTTATAGAGGACACCAACTATATGTTTTTTAACTGATTTGAAGAGTAATAACTTTTTGTTCGTACCTGTATAAAACTACTGAGTGAAAAAAATATACATTTCCGTAGTTTTTTACGTATAAAATGTCTTTGGGTAAAAATCGCTACGAGCAACCTTTTTTGAGATATCTGAAATGGAAATAATCATTATACATGTCAAGATTGACAAAAAACAAACATGTTGACTAGATAGTTATTTGACTGAAATGATAAATTTGGGAACATTTTAATTTTTTAAGCTTATCATGAATTTTTGTAGAAAAATATACAGCACAAAAATTTTTCAAATTTATTGTTTCAGACTAATAACTATCCAATCCACATGGATATAATTTTTGTCAATTACAATTTCGATTCCAAATAACTTTAGAACCATTATTCGTAGCGATATTTACCAAGAAACCTTTTTTACGTAAAAAATTACGAAAATGTATATTTTTTACTCAGTAGTGTAATATAGGTACAGACACAAAGTTGTTACTCTTCAAAACAGCTAAAAATATGTAGGTGAGATCCAAGAACGGTAAACTAATGACGTGACGTCATTGTAGCCCTTGTCAAAGCCTTCGTGGCCTTGTCATGATAGTGTGTATTATTAGTTGCCTTTGGTAAACTTATAAAAATAACAGCTGAGAAATTTTGAGTTAATTATTTTGTCAATTTTAAATGTGAAAAAGGTGTCTTTTAAAGTTTTTAGAGCTATAGAGTGTATAAATACGTTCATTTTGTGTTGTGGATTGTGACAAAGTGCTTACTAAGTGCCCACGATTTTGTTTATTAATTATTTTAAAGCAAAATATGGAAGTACTCTAAAAGAATGCTTGCAAAGGTGATGCTGAGAACTGCTGTTCTTAAAAATGCATTATCCCAGTATTTAATACGATTTATACAGTTAATTTTCTATACTGCATACATATAAGGTGTTTAAATAAATAAACTAAATAATGAACGTTTTGCATTCGGCAACCAATAATGCACGTGTGTGTATTATTGGTTGCCGGATAAGGACTAATAACCATGACAAGGGCTACAATGACGTCACAAAGCGAGAAGTTTTCGCATGCACCTGGCGGACACTTTTGGCTGAATGAGCAGTCCTATTAGGTTAACTGTTCTTGGGTGAGACCAATACAACTACCACCGCAAACTAACACCTAACCAATTTAACCATAGACACCAATTTTCATCCAAATGTCGGTGTTAACTCAGAAATTATTTAAAAAAAAGTCGAAATAAAAATGAAACTTCTACACCATGTATCTCCGAGACGAAGCATTTTTAGACATAAATTTATACGAACTTTTTTACTTCTTTTTAGCTGCTGAATATGCTGCCGAAGTTTCCCGAATACAGTTCGGACCACCCTGTATATTATTAAAAGAATAAGAACATATTACCTCTTGCGATTCATGACTTCCATGTCCACCTCCGTAACCCTCTCCTGAACCGGTACCACCATAACCTCCTCCAGGACTACTTTGATCATAGTTTCCTCCAGGTCCGCTAAGAGGAGCCCCATAACCTGTATTTGGCGCTCCGTAAGAGGCAGGAGGTTCACTTTTGACAGTAACAAGCGCGCAGGCAAACAAAATAATTGCTTCCTGAAATATAAAATTAGCTAAACATTACAGCATACAACATTCAAATTTTGAAGTCTAAATTGAATATCAAAATAATTCTTAATTTTTTTCAAATTCGGTACTGAAAAAATCGATAAAATATGGCTTCTTTTTAAATTCTAGCTAAAAATACCATAGTAATAATAATAAAAGTAATTTTGATGACACCCTTGGTTTTCTTCAAAAACGAACTAAAATCCTATAGCAGGTGATTTTCAAAAGTTGTTATTATTTTACACAAAAAACGAGATTTGGTATGTTAGTATACATATTATGCCACAAATTAGGATTGATTGACATAAGGTCTGTTCTCAGAAGAATCCCTGACTAGTCAGCGCGTTTCTTATTGGCTGAAATGTGTAGAAACCAGACTAACAATCAGGTTTCTACGCATTATAACCAATAAAAAACGTGCTGACAAGTCAGGGATTCTTCTGAGAACAGACCTATATTCAATTATTTTCGGTCAGCTTCTGTTTCACCGTAAATGATAACAACTTTTGATTCTTAAATGGTACCCTCGGTATTTGTTTACTTCATTCGATAGAAAATGACACTCTGAATAGAATGACATTTCATATGTCAATTGTTGACATTCTATCTTAAAAATAGTATTTTAAATTTCCAATCTTGAGTGCTATGGCTGTGAAAACCACCCGTTTTTAAAGAAGGAGCCTTGGAAAAATGGATTTGATCGTCTAATATTTTTTTGACTTTTCCTAGCTGGTTGAAAGATGCCCAAATCGTATTTTTAATCATAATGCATTTTTTTCATATGGGACGAGGGTGGCTCATCAGCATATTTTGATAAAGCTTTTTTTACAAATAATTTGATACCACATACTTGGTTTGGTAGTTCGTGTCAAACTGTCATTATAAACCATGAACGTCCAAAGCAGGAACGAATCATTTTGCTAGGTGACTTTAATGCCCGTGTCGGCAAACAACAGGAAATATGGCCTGACGTATTGGGAAAACATGGAATGGGAAACGTAAATAGCAATGGTGAACGCTTATTAACAACATGCACAGAGTATAATCTTTGCATCACCAATACGTGGGTCATGCTGAAGGACAAATTTAAAGGTACCTGGAAACATCCGAGATCAGGCCATTGGCACCAATTGGACCACGTAATCATTCGAAGGACGCACCTAAAACATGTCAGTCTCACAAAAGCCAGAGTAGATTCTGAATGTGGCACTGACCACCGACTTTTAATCTCAAATATGAAAATCCAGTTAAAACCCAAACATCCACACTGTAAAAAGCAAAGCTACATGACCAGATTGAACGTACGGGGTCTAGAGAACAACGATACCGCCGACTCCCTCCGGGAAGCCATCAAAGAATCACTTCCACCGATAACTTCAATCTGAATCGTGGATGCTGAACATGGCTGGACAGAACTAAGAGATGCGATTCACAAAACCAGCGAAGCAGTACTACTGGGAAAATCCAACAAAAAGAAACAACCAGACTGGTTTAACGAAAATCAACCGAATATACAGGCTTTGTTGGAACAAAAGCATAGAGCACATCAAGCCGTCACTGCAAATCCACACAATCCAAGACTAGCAGACAACTTTAAGGCAGCCAACAACACGCTCCGAAGAAACCTGCGCCAACTAAAGGATAACTGGTGGTCGCAAAAAGCTAGTCAGATTCAGGAGTATGCCACGCATCACGACTATCGTAAATTCTTCGAGACTGTAAAAGAAGTATACGGTCCAACTAAGAAGGCAAGATGCCCAATCATGGCACAAAATGGCGAACTTCTAAAAGAGGAAGGGCAAATCAGAAACCGCTGGAAAGAGCATTACAGCCATATCCTTAACCAAGAAAACAACCCCAATATAGAAACACTCAACATAATACCTCAGTATAACAGCCTCGATGAAAAAAATCATAAGCTTCTTTGTGTGACTGATAAAAAATAGTGTTAAAAACCCCATATATTATATAATATTACGAATATCCGCAAAACCGTTAAACATTTTGAAATACTTTAAATACAAAAATTTTCATTTTTTGATTCTCCATCTAACAAAGGAATAAGATACAAGGTGTTCCATTAAAAAAAACCAAGAAAAGCTATTTTATAATTTAGAAAGTTTGGCATAGAAATTTGAAACCATCTGTATGGTTTAAGATTACATTATAGGAGAGTAAGTACAGACCAATTATAGTACGAGTATAGATAGTACCTAGTATAGATTTCAGAAAAGAAGCCAAAAATGCAATAATACACAGGATATTCCATTTAAAAAAAATAATCGCGATTCACTCGCACTTTTTTGAGCCACCCTGTAGAGATTAAAATATTTTCCTGAACTACGTCCTAATACATAGTTTAGGTCTGCATTTAAACAAAATTTTTAAGTTTTTTATTATAGGAGCTACTACGACGCACTATTGTCGCACCCTGTATAATTGTTGACAAGCTTATAACATAAAAAATAAAGTTGGTATAACAATAGTATAAAAGCACAACTAAAACAAAGAGGTGAACATATCGAATAAATTTTAATTTTAAAAAGAGTATCACTTATACCGGGTGCGTCTTAAAAGTGGCTCACCCCTGTAACTTTTTTATTTTTTCTGTTCCACCGGAAATGACTTCTTTTGATTGTTAAATGGCAACCTCGGTATTTGTTTACTTTATTCGATAGAAAATGACATTCTGAACAGAATGACATATCATAAGTCAACTTTTGACAAAATATCTAAAATAGTATATTTAATATACTATTTATACTATTAATAATAATATAGTTCTTTATTAATTTTATATAGAAATAGTATAAAATCACAACTAAAACAAAGAGGTAAAAATAAACATAAATATCCAATTAATTTTAATTTTGAAAAGAATATCTATCACTTATAGGTAAAGTTAGAATCAAAAGTTATATCATAACTTAATGCAATAGATTTATTTTTTAATTATTAATTAGTATTTATAAAGCTTCATTCGGAACCTCGTAATTAGTGGAATAAATTAGTGGTAGACATTTTCAATTAGTAGAAAAAGTTATCAAACTTTTAACATTTCCACTAATTACAAAAGTTGATTGTTTTAAAAGCTAAATACTAGCGTGTACCAGCGACTTCGTTCGCGTCGAATTAATCATTTGTAATGGTGATGATAAGGCAAAGCAAGAATTTCCATTAACATACAAACTGGATAAAATTTTCTCACATTTATGTCAGCATGAAAAAAAAAATATGGCGATATTATTATGTAACTTGTTAATATTTGAGGGGTAGTTTCATCTCGTTAGAATTTGACTTCGGAAAATCCGTTTGCCAAAAATAAGCTTTTTACGTCAAGCAGTTTAAGCAGAATCGTGGTTAAGAAATTACCCTACTTTTTGGAACACCCTGTATGATTTTTTAAAAAAAATTCAAAATATGTAAAAAAACAAAATAAATTATATTATTAATTGTCCAAACGTTTTCCCGAAAGACTAATCGTTTTATAAATAACAAATATTGTAATATTTGAGGGGCGTTTTCGCCCTCTTGGAATTTGAGATTCGAGAAACCCCTCCTTATCGAACCTCTACAACCCCCAGTCAATCCGTTTGCCAAAAATCAGCTTTAAACGTCAAGCAGTTTAAGCAGAATCGTGATTACTCAATGGTCATATTTTATGAAACACCCTGTATAAATTTATAAAAAATCTTAAATGATGTAAAACAACAAAATAAAATATACGTGTTTAAGAGTTTTTTCGAAAAACTCACCGGTTTTTAAATAAAAAATATTTTAATATTTGGGAGATAGTTTCACCCCCTTAGAATTCGAGTTTCGAAAAATCCCTTCTTATATTTTTATTATATATATTATTTATTATATATTATTTTTTATATATATAAAATGCCTTCCCCTCTACACCCTAAACTAAAGTCAATCTGTTTTCCAAAAATCAGCTTTTTACGTCAAGCGCTTTAAGCAGGATCGTGATTAATCAATGACTTTTTCGAAACACCCTGTATACATTTTTTAAAAATCTTAAAATATGATATTGGGAAATTTTGGAAGCGAAAACGAAAAATGGATAGGAAAAGAACAAAATAAAAAATACGTGTTTTCTTTAAATTTAGGAACTTGACCTATTTTAATTCATGGTATTGTAATGTTTGAGGGGTGGTTTCACCATCTTGCTTGGAATTCCTCTTAATTCCTTCTTATCGAACCCTCTAAATTTCTAAGAATCAACCTGGAATTCTTACCAAAAATTGAGCTTCTTACGTTGAGTGGTTTGGAGCAGGATCGTGATTAATCAGTCCTTCAATCCCTTAAGAATTCCTTCATAGTATATAATATAATTCCTCTGCGGTAGATCAACCCTCGTTTATGAACTAAGACTACTAGATGGCAGGACCGGTTTCCCTACAGAAAAATATTTTTGTTACTCTGAATTTTGAAGCTACCAATAAAAACAGAGAAAATAAAATCGATAATTTTCGGACTGTGCAATTGGTTACTAATCGACCAGATACTTTTTATCTATTAGATATGCTATAAAAGCTGGCAATTATACAATTCGACCATTGTAAATACCCGACAAATTCTTCAAGACCGACAAGGCCGATGCTTCTCACTGATAACAAATAAAAATGTTTGTTTAGATAATTTTCGAGGTATTTTTTCTTTCTGAATGCACATTTTAAAATATTTTATATTCTTTGTCCCCTTGACCTATTATCCTGGTTGCATGTATGGAAGTTCTGTTTCTTCTAGTTTTAGAAAATGTTCATATTTCTTTTTTCTTTGTAGGTGTAGTGTAAAATTAGATTACTTTATTAAGTTTAATTATAGTGTTTAGTGTAGCATGTTAGTGTAGTCTACCAAAAATAGTTTAGTAGTGTTTTTATAGTTTATTTTGTATTTAAGTAGTGGGTGAAGGGATAATTTTGTTATTTTTTCTTTTTGTTTGATAAATTGGTAAGTTTGATAATTTGTTCAGTGTAGAATACAAGAATAAGTAGTTGTGTAGTGTTTTTTATTTAAAATTCTTCTTTTTGTTTTTCTTGTAATAATTGTAGTAGTTCTATTAAGTATTGTGATAAATACACTATATCTTCCTTCAACTTCGTTGAAAAGTGCGTTATCATATAATCTTGGTTTTCTGGTAGCAGAATATACGAAAAAAAATTCTGATCAAATTTATTTGAAATTAAATTAATCTAGCCTTATTAATCAAATTAAACTAGTCAAATAATAACAATAGTTAGTTTCAAAATACTATACAGGGTGAGTTTCCTACGATGTTCTCTATGGGCATCTCGGAAACTACTGGAGGTAGAGAGTCGGTTAATGGGGAAATAATTGCAGTTTTGTGGGGTCATAAATATGCGCCTTTCGGATTTTTCGGAGAAGTTCAAGGCTTATTAGATATTTCGAAAAAAACAAATTTTGGCTATTTTAAAACTTGTCTCTAATTCTATTATAATCTACCGTATGATCGAATAAAAATGGTAAAATTATATGGGAAATATCATTGATCGTCATTTCATAGCCATCGCTGACGCCGTTTTTATTCGATCATACGGTATTTTAGACAAAAAGTTTTCAGATAAAAGTTGTAGATAATCACATACCTAATGAGTTTGTGTTTTCTGTTTTTTTTTCCAAAGTCTGTCATTTTTGACATATGACACAAACATATGTTTTTTTAGTAAACCATAGTTGGCCATGACCTCATAAAAAGCGCCATTTTTTAAGCTTTTCAGCGATAGGTATAATATGTTTTTTTCGAAAAATTACAAGTTATAGCCAATTCTTTCCTTTCTTGGCTAATTTCCATAACAATAATACCATGCCAATTAGTTAGCATCAAAAATGTAAAAAGTTTTATGTTTTAAAAAAAAATATCGTAAAATTCGTAAATCACTCAATTTAGAATAAAATAATCTAAGAATGAAATGATTCTTTTATAAACCTACATTAAATCAAATTAAAATAGGTATGTAACTTTTTTTTAAATATTAATTAACAGCCAATTAGCATTATCATAAATTATAAATAATGTACCAACATATCGAAATAATAATTTCTTTGTTAATACGGTTTAGAATTCTTAAAATAACAGGCAAAAATAATCCACAATTTACAGTAAAATAAAAGTTTCGTTTAAATTTCTTAATCAGCTGATCACTATTAAAGTTCGCAGATACCCGGAGCTATATTATTACATTTTACATTACTCTGAAACTGAAAATAACGAAAATAATCGATATTTTTGACTCCGCCCCGAAAGGTTCACGATTTTTCCTCCAGTTAGCAGCAAATTTTGTCTAGTCGGTTGACCAACTTTAAGAATATATAAACAAGGATTTTATATATTAGTATAGATTAGGCTTTCCCTGACTTATTGACAACTAACTAACACAAGCTGTTGCTAGGATATTCTATTAATTTTAATTGTGTTTTTTAAACATTGTGAATGATCGTAAACTAAAAAGTATAAAGTGTTATTGAAACCACTAATTTATGCCAGTAATTGCGAGGTTCTGAATGAAGCTTAAGAGCCATAAAAGCTAAACTGCTAAATTATGTATGTATTTTATCACTTACTGTTTTCATGATTCCTTGGACTTGAACCTTGTGTATTTATACTATCAATCCAATCAAAACTAATTTAACCCGAAAATAATTGATCTCACCCGATTGATTTTATTATGTAAATTGGTATTTTATCGATAAATTAAATCGAGAGCAAAACTGCAATTGACCGAATTGCAAATGCATCGGCCCGAAAGATGTTGATGTGTGGGAAGGCGCAAAAAATATCTAGTTTATATACGTTTTTAGATATTTGGTAATCTATTGTCTGATCTCGATGAAGCAAGGCCTACTCCAATTCGGTCCCACGCATTGCCGGCGGTTTAGAAGACCCCACCATCCCCTTGAAATTACGAACGATGCTCGAAATTTCATAAAATCGCGGGCTCTCTGTGGTGCTTATCTTTCTCTCCAAGAATCTTCAAGGTCTTCCGTATGAATGTGTGTGTGTATGTAGTCTGAAAGTGTACTTTTCTTTTGTGAAACTGAGAAATTATGATGTATTTCTTTACCGAATAATTATATATAATAATAAAAATAATTTAAAAATTCTATATTTACCATGTATGTTTTACTAGAGAACTTTTCTCTTAAAGAATATTTTATAAATAAATAAATAAATGCCTTTATTGTCAAAAAAATTTTCAATTTGTAGACAAAGGTAAACTAACAAAGAAAGTAAAAAAACAAGGTACACAAACAAACAAACAAAAGATAATACAAAACATTATACAAATAATATTGTCAGTCTTATTGTTAAAATAAACATTTATAAATGTTTTACAATGTCAAAGAAGAAAAAAATAAAAATAATATTCAAAAATATTTAGCTAGTTTATAGCAAAATATCAATGACCTCTAAATAAATTCCTTTCGATGTCATTAGTAAATATAGCAATAGCAAACATTAGACCAGTGTTTACAAGATCAAATTCGATTTTCAAAATATAATTCATTTTAGAGCGTAGAAAGCCTTGTCTAGTAAATAAGAGTTCAATGCTTTGCGAAATGAAAAAAATGATGTTATGGATTTGATTTCAAATGGCAGGTGATTGTGCATTTTTTTCGAGTTGTATAATATTGAACTTTTAACTAACTCTGAGCGTAGGGTAGGTAGATAAAGATCTTGCTCCGCGTTCCTGAGTGGATAAGTGTGAAATGGGCTTTCTTGAGAAGCTGATACATGTTTACGTATTAGGCAAACGGATTCAAACATAAATAAGGAAGGAAGAGTCAATATTTTTAATTCTTTAAAAAAGTCCCGGCAATTAGTTCTGCTGTTTACTCCCAGTGAATATCGAACAGCTCTCTTCTGGAGCTTGAAAATGCGGTCAAATTGAGTCGCACAACACGTACCCCAGAATGGAAGGGCATACCTGAGGTGCGACTCAAAAAGTGCATAATAAACAGTTCTAGCCACTGACAAGTTAAGCTCCTTAGAAGCAGACCTTAATGCAAAACAGGCAGAGCTCAATTTTTTCGACAAAGCTTCGATATGTATGTCCCATTTCAGAGAATTATCCACAACAAGCCCTAAGAATTTTACAGATTTTACGACGTCAATGGTGGTGTTGTTAAGTACAAAAAGCTGCAACGAGTTTTTATACGACAAAGCTTTAGTTTTAGAAATGTTGAGACTCAGGAGGTTCGAATCGCACCAAGATTTAACGGTGATTAAGTCATTTGATATAATCCTATGAAGTGCCGTGATGTCCTTGTTGCTCCAAGTGAAGCTAGTGTCGTCCGCAAAAAGACATATTTTGCCACTGATGTTTATGTTAGCAATGTCGTTAATTAAAAAAAAGAAACAAAATAGGGCCTAGTACTGAGCCTTGTGGTACTCCACATTCTATTGGCTTGCTAGAAGACAACGTGGTATCCACCCTCACAAGTTGACTTCTGTCGCTCAGATACGACTTAAACCATTCGAGAGAGATATGAATAAGTCATGATAGAATAATACCTTAAGGTATATTTTGATCATGCTAATATGAAATACTGGCGTAGCAAAAGCTTCACAGGCATAATAACATAATATCAACCTCCTATAAAGAAGCGTCCATTTTGCCTTGAAGCATAAAGTTTATTATTTAATTAGGGTGGTACTCCTTGTTAGAAGAGGCCTACTTTAATAGATTATTTATAATATTTTGATAACTACGAATACAGGGTGCTCAAAAAATAAAATTAAAAATAATGTTGAGGAAAATGTGTCTAAAAACAATTTTCTCAAAGAAAAACAACAACATTTTATAATTTTATCTGATTTCCTCTTCTTATCACGCCCTCTCCTGCCGAAGGTTGGCGATCCAAATTGCAATTGTGGCTCTGGAAACTGCAGCCCGGAATATTTCCGCAGACGAGCGTTCAAACCATCTCCTTAAATCATTTAGCCATGAGTTCTGGCGTCTTCCTACTGATCTTTTCCCTTGCACTTTGCTCTCTATTATGAGGCGCCATATTTCGTATCTATCACCTCTCATCACATGACCCAGGTATTGCATTTTTCTTGCCTTGATGGTGTTCAGTATCTCTTTTTATTCCTGCATGAGCTGGAGTACTTCATCGTTAGTGATCCTTTGTACCCATGAGATTCGCAGCATCGGTCTGTACTCATACATTTCGAAAGCTTCTATTCTCTTTTCAGTCTGTGAATTTAGTGTCCAGGGCTGGAACTTTGTAACTAAATAGCGATCGGTAGCGATGAAGAATACTGACCTTGGCCGTACAAACTAAACGTCAAGCGGCAGTATTCTTCATCGCTACTGATCGCTATTTCGTTACAAAGTTCCAGCCCAGCTCTCACATCCATAGAGTAACACAGAGAAGACGTAGCATCTGGCCATTTAAGTTCTGAGTTCCGAACTGAGGTCTCCGACTTATCTGATTTACCTACAATTAAAAATAAAGGTAAATTTCTGTAAGATTGTCTTTACCAAAAGTTTGTAGTTTTCGAAATATGGCCAATTTATATGGCAATTTTGCTGCGGATTGTAGCTTTATAGTATAGGCAACACAGCGAGGACCGCGCTAGAGCTCGAAGACTGTGGCCAGTGGTAGATAGCAAAAAGACAAAACAACTACTAGAGCACAAAAAGAACCTAGTATGCATAATTGTAGGTGTCATCACTGGAAACTGCTCCACGGGGGTAAACCTGTGAGATGGAAGATTTTCAACAACGACTACTGCAGAGAATGCGGAGAGGAAGAAGAAACCATAGTTAAATAATTGTCCTAATAGTGTAATAGTAAACATTGTCCGACAGAGACACCGACGTACAGTGTAACGAAAACTAAAATAGTGGGACATTAGCATTTTTTTTCAGTTATCACTATTCTTGCTGAATTTTTTTGACAGAAATTAAATAATACGACTAGGAATTTTTGTTACAGGGCGAAAAGAGTAAAAAAAGGCGTAAAGGAAGGTCAAAAAAATACGAAGTTTTATAAAAGGACTTTACAGGTATATTTTTTTTATTTACGAAGAGTTTATAGCTCTTATGGACCAAAAACGTTATCAAATTACTGTCGAACAATCATTTATCTCCCGCTAATATGTCAAAACTCAATCAACATTCCTAAATATTCAAATAATCAGGGATAAACTAGATAAGAATGCAAAACTCAAAGAGAACGACACAAGTGGCAAATATCTTTTAACAGTATTAAATAATATGTTAATATGCGAAAAAAACGTATGCAACTTCAACAAAAGAAACCGTAATACACACCTCACAAAAAATTTCGCAACACTTATATTTTTCGTAGTATTTATTCTTGAAACGCTTCAAACACTTTTATAAGAAAAACTTAAATCTAAGGTCTGCCTGAGTTATGATATACTTTCCATTCCTTAACAAGTTGCTATTAATGCAAATAACTTTTGAGATTATTGTTAACCAAGAGAATTTAAGAATACTTTGCAGTTTTCCAAATTAATTAGTGAAGCGATAATTTATGTGGGGTGTATATTATCCCAAAATAATAATGGTTTTTACAATAGTAATAGCAAAGTTTACAGAAAATTCTGTAAAGTTTGGTAGTAGTAATATAATCATATACGACTACGTATTTCAGTAAATCATAAATCATGAACAAAAAATGTTACCTAGTTGATATTTTGTTGCAAACTCACGATTTATTAGTAGGTATTCTACTGAGATATACTACACATAATACGAATCTGCTAACAATCTCCATATATAACGTTCTTACGAGAGCATTAATACACATAACTCCCATGAGTATATTTTTTTATCATGTGTGAAGAGAATATAATTCAGACTTCGTTATTCCACGCAGAATTCTTCATTTTGATTAAAGCCAAAGATGCAGCTTGATGCCAGCATGATGTAATTCTAAAAGATCACCAGATCTAAGATAGTTGGGCTTCGTACGGACGAGGAAGAAATATATCGTCTAGTTTGCACCGTATTTTGCCTCGTTGCAAAATGCATTGTGTTAAATTTCTTTCCAATTAAGAAATTATCTACCGGACAAAAACGTACATTGTTTACAGTTAGATAATTTTAAGGTTAGTTAACGAATAATTATGATTTTGCTATTAATTAGCCGTTTAATTATTAGTTGTTCGTCTTCTAACACATAGTAGATTAAAAATTCTACTTCAAATAAAAATACTTGAACAGTGCCGTCCATAGTGATTAATAAAAGAAAGATTTAATATAAATATTAGTTGTTTATTATTATAGATTTAATATAAATATAAAACTTTTGATTGCTAAAAATAGAACTCTGCGGTTCGCTAGGTATATATACTTTTTTCTGAAACCAAACATGCACAATCAAAATTGTCAATGCCTTCTTTCATCTTCTATGTTAGCATAGTATAAGGAAACTAGTAGCTTTACTCCTTGTCAAATGCTTTGTTCTTATTCTGCCACTTTATATGACCTTGTTCTCGGGTCCCGTGACCACTGACGTAGCTGTATAGTCGTGGTCTATAACTAGGCAAAGTATAGTGGTGGCACTCGCCATAGTTTCACAGAGATGTATTTAGGAAAATATGAGTTCACAATAAAATAAAATAAAAAAAATTGATCATCGAGTAAAAATTTGCTTGAAAACAGAATATTTTCACATTTCGTGTAAGTAACAATTCCTCAGTATCTGAAAATCTTCTGATGAAAAGAAATGCGGAAAAAATATATAATAACATATTTTT